GAGATATAATTGATACTGGTGTCAAAACGAATCATTAAAATCTAAATAATTTTAAAGAATTGTATGTATGCAATTATATGTTAAGAGTAATTAATAAAAACAAACAAATTTGAAAATTTTAAACATAATATACCAGACAAAAATGACATCAAAATAAAAAATATCTATTCGATTTATTTTAAATGCTTTTATGCATTGTGTGATATAATTAAGACTCAGCAGATAGACTCTGATATATCGAATCATTACCTCAAAATCTATTTTACAAGAATGTTTAATCCTACTCATAAGAATATACTTAAAATGCACAATTGAAGACGAACCAACAACAAGTCGCCAACTATTGAACTAATTGCTTCATATCTACATTACCTTTTTAAATCGTACTGTCGTATTCATTCCTGATATTGGATGCACATCAATCAGAACTTTTTTTTAATATGTAGCTAAAGAAGGAATATATACTATTATTAAGTGAGTAGTATAGCATCTTGTTGGAACTTTGTTCATTTCATGTTTTGTTTAAGCTGCAGAATCACTTTAACTGATTACATATACTTCATTTTAGGGCTTTATGGTTTGAATTATTCGCTATATTTTGAAAGATAACACACCACTCAATAAGTCGTGTGACTGACATGAAGTAAGGTTGTTAACCTTCAAAAGACTATGTATAAAATTTCATGACATTTTGATTAGTCAGAAAAAAAGTGGCAGCTAAATGGCTGTGAAGCTACTTTTGTTATTTTCAAAACAATGGATTCAAAAAAATTTCGTGTGTTAATTTATCATTGGTCCATGATGACAAAAATACTATACAAGCTCAGCAATGGCTTCAAAAGTATTATCTGCACTCTCCTCCATCGAAAAGAACCATTTGTTATTGGTTTGCTGAATTTAAACGTGATCGTACAGACACCGATGATGGTGAACGTTCTGGTCGTCCAATGGAGGTGGTAACTCCAGAAAATATCAAAAAACTCCACAAATTGGTTATATCTTATCGTAAATTGAAATTGAGTGAGGTAGCTGAGACCGTACAGATATCAGAAGGTCGTATGTTTACAATTATGCATGAACATTTGACCATGAGAAAGCTCTTTTCAAAGTGGGTGCCGCGTTTACTCACAGTCGATCAAAAACAATATCGTGTTGATAATTCACAGCAGTGTTTGGTCATGTTTACCCGTAATAAATCATATTTTTTGCATCGATGTGTGACAATAGATGAAACATGGATCCATAACTTCACTCCGGAATCAAAACGATCGTCATCTGAGTGGACTGCATTCGGTGAGCCACGTCCGAACCGTCCAAAGGCACAACAGTCAGTTGTGAAGATTATGGCTTCAGTATTTTGGGATGCACATGGAGATTGACTATTTCAAAACCATCAATAATAACTACTACACGGCATTACTGGGTCGTTTGAAAGCAGAAATTGTGAAAAAACGACCACATATAACGAAAAAAATTTTGTAACGAAATTCGTGCAATTTGGCAAATCAAAAATTTCGATACCTACGTTTTTAGATATGACTTTGTTATCTAGAAATAATATTATACTGATGTAGAATTTTGAACATCAAGACAAGCAAATAATTTTAAAATCCAAATTTTTTATTTCTTTATTATATAACTAGGTGACCCCGCGAACTTCGTACCGCGTAACAGTCAATAAATGTTATATTAAATTATAGGTAAACTAAATTTAGAAATAAAATGAATACAAAAAATTTATTGTATTCAATAGTTTATTAGGATATTGATATATAATTAATTATTTTAATGGTCTGTCAGCAAGAACCTATGGGTTGCACTCCGATTGATTCTCTTCAATAAAGATCCTTGTGATATACGATATTTTTTTTTTCTTTATCAGGCGCAAGAACAAATAAAGCAGATGGTTTGCCTACACGTGAACATGCCACGTACAATTGACCATGTGAAAAACATGCATTTTCTAGATTCAGACCACAAACACTAAAGGATTGGCCTTGTGATTTATTTATAGTCATAGCGAATGCCAGCCGAATAGGAAATTGAATTCGTTTAAACTCAAAGGGCATATCGATTGAGATCATTGGAATCCTCGGAATGAGAACTTCATCACTTTTGAATTTTCCTTTGAGTATCATTGCGTGAATCACATTGGCCATCACTTTTGTTATCACTAAACGCGTTCCATTGCATAGTTTTGGTTGGTTTAGATTTCGAAGCATAATGACTACCGAACCAATCTTTAATTGTAAATTGTGCGATGGTAAGCCAGGCACATCCAAGGAGTTCAAAAATTCAGTTGGATAGTTGGTAGCTTCTTCTTCGTTTGTTACACAGTCAATAGATTTAAATGTATGCAGAGTACCAACGATTTGATTTTGAATTACAAAGTTTAAGTCATTCACATCTCTGTTCTTAGCTGCCAAAATTGCTCGCTCACTCAACCATTTTTTGTTTTTATGATTATCAATGATGTTCGGAAATACTTCATGGATGAGTTCGTCTTTTGATGAGACGAAATTGCAAAAATTTGAAGGAAATGCAATTAATCCGCTCGATTCTTCAACAGCTACACGGCCATTACCGATTAACAGCAATTGCTTGGAGAACTCTTCAGCAGATGCATCGTTTACCAATGCAACTCTCATGTTTGTTACCAGCTGAAGTTTCTTCACATAGCGCCAAAGATTTGATGATTTAAGGCAAGCATTTATTTCGTCGACAGCAGTCGATTTTGGAATGACTGGGAGTGTTTGGCGAAAATCGCCAGACAGTAAAATCATTGCGCCTCCAAAACATCTCGAGTCATTGCGAAGATCTTTCAATATTCTGTCAAGTGCTTCTAATGCGCGTTTGTGCGCCATTGTGCATTCGTCCCAGATGATGATTTTAGATGCTACTAAAACTTTAGTCATTGCAGAATGCTTCGCAATATTACATATCGGTTGCTCGGTAGTTTGAAGGTTTAACGGCAATTTTAACGCTGAATGAGCCGTACGGCATCCTTCTAACAATGTAGCCGCTATTCCAGAAGAAGCAACTGCTACCGCAATGTCGGATCTCGCACGAACAGTGGCCAAAATTAATGACATGAGGAATGTTTTAGCAGTCCCACCGGGGGCGTCCAGGAAAAAAAAGCCACCATTTTCTTCATCAATCGCTTTCATTAATGTATCATACACTTCCTTCTGTTGCGGATTCAATAGAGGTACATTAGTTTGAACTAATTGTTCTAATTCATGTCGATCATATTCACGTTCACGTTCCAATTCTCGATTAAATGCGTTATTTATTCCACGATCAGGAGCTGGCATTCCTTATCGGACTAACAAACTACCGCAGGTATGGTAACATATGTCTTCGATCAAGAGCAAAGCCTGATTATGCATTTCATCATTCACCTGAAGATCGGGATTTCTTGAACTGACACGAATTCTATGTAAAATGTCTTCTGACATGTTATCCTTATATTTGTTCCACATGTCACGTGGATTTGATGGTATATTGAAATCAATATTTATTTATTATATTTGAATTTATTATATTTGAAATTTCAAATATTTGAAATATTTGAAAAAAAAATTTAAAAAGAAATCAATATTACTCAAACTGTCGAACTGTCAACAGTTTGAAACAGCATTTACAAATTTATAATTTTTGCTAAAATTAGTTGATTTTCCCAATATTTTATAATGTATTCTGCTATTCGGAGCGGAGACGATTCCAACAAATCAAAGATAATTAAAATTGGTTCAGCCGTTCTTGAGTTATGAGTGGTGTAACTAACACGACTTTCTTTTATGTATATAGATTAAAGAACAAAAAAATTAGCAGTTATTAGTAGTACAAATAACTATTTTTTGTCCGAACTAAAAATGAATCTCTCAAAGTCTTGTTGTGTGTTAGCACTACGTATGCAATTTTGATGAAATCACCACGTATTACTTACTCATGGATCTAGTTAATTACAAAGATTTGCGCAAATATATATAGATTACATATAATGTTATATTATTCTATTTATCACCACCGTATCTAAGTACTGCTCACTTTATAATGTCACACTTTTGTGATATTTCGAGATATCTTAACGCTCCAGTCTATCAGATTTCTCAAAGGACGGTGGCTTATATTATTCTATTCTATATTATTCTTTCTTAATGAATCATTTTATATTAAAAGGAAACTTTACATTGCTTGCAGTAATAAACTTCTAACTCATCATGTGGTTTCTTTGATTCTGCCAAAAAATCAATATTAGTTCTGTCAAACGCTAGTAATTCTTTACCTTTTCTCCATGAATCAGGAACGATAATACCATGCTTTAAATCTTCCAGGTCAACATATTTGGCTATCATATTATCAACCGAACATGCTTTTAAAAATTTATGTAGAATGATTATACCTAATATAATGGAATGTAAATGTTTCAATTTAATTCGAAGAGATTTCTGTATAACTTTAAATTTTGTTGTTAAATGGCCTAAAGTATTTTTTTCACCAATGATGCGCACGATTTAAACGTTAATTAAATACCTCCTCATGTTCAGGAACGATCAAGGATCTTGGGTGTGAATATCTTGAAAATAATGATTGGTTGAATTGCTTAATGATCAGCATAGAGAATTTCTTTCGAAACAGGAGTTGATCCAGTAAGTAACCGATCAAATACTTGAGAACGAGCCAGAGTCTGCTATATCCATGTCCGGACAGCTAACAACAAAATCATGAAATTTAAAAATTTTTTTTAAAATTGGAACCGATCTGATTGAATTTGTATGGCTATAAAAAAATAAAAATGTAGACGGTTTTTCGCTTCACGACCAATTTTCTCGGAACGGATCGAAGCCGTTAAGCTAGGTATAGGTGTAATGAAAAAATAATTTTATTTTATTTATTTTATTTAAAGTTAAAATTTTAAGTAAGTTTAATTAAATAATAGAATGTAATTCAAATATCGCGACGTTTCTCAAAACACAACTGTGTTGGTCTACTGTCGTTCATACTGGCGGTGGGCCACGTACATACTGCAAATGTGGTCGAAAACTATTGGACAAATTGTTGAGGTTGTCGCAACACTTTGGTTGTACAAAATAAACAATGCAGATTATAATAATTAATACCAATAGTACTAGAACCGCAGGTCGAACTATACGATATATCCAATTACATTTAGGTGCTTTGTTGTTTTCATCATCGAAAGCGTCCACATCACGATCGACAGTTGGTTCACTATCTGGGTGATTATCGCTACTAGATGTCTGCTCTGTTGATTTATTGTGGGAATGAGTGAGACTATTGGCTGCATTTTGCTTACTGGTTGGAGCATGTTGGTCACGTTTGTTTTTGTAAATGGGATTTGAATCTTGTTGAACCTTTTGTTCACCATTCGTTAAGATTTTTTGTTGTGCAGTTGCAATGGGTCGTTGTTTCATATTTTGATGCGCTATTGCAACACTTACGATTAAATCACGGTAAGTATTTTGCAAGTTCTTCATATCTGCTTCAGCTATTTTTATCGAAGCTGCAATTGATTTAACAGCATTAGAGCCACGTGTGAATAACGATTCTAATTTCATTGCTAAGTGATGTAATGCAGTC